CTGCACTGGAGGCTAAGAGGTGGGCACCAAACCTCCTCCTCCTCCTCCTTCCACGCCTCCTCCTCCTCCTTCTCCTCCTCCCCCTGCTCGTCCTCCTCCTCCTCCTCCTCCTCCTTCTCCTCCTGCTGCTCCTCCTCCTCCTCCTCCTCCTCCTCCTCCTCCTCCATTCCTTTTCCTTATGAATAACTCCTCCCTGTCGCGCCCCGAGGCTGGTCGATAGGGCGGGCCTGGCGTTGCGCCTCAGACTTCGGAGACTTCTTCACCATTGGTGGCACTGAAGTCAAGAGTTTGACAAAGGAGCTGCACAGGTGGAGGGCGGGTGGTTTCAACATGTGGCTGTCGCCTTAGTGCCGCGCGCATTCCTTTCAACAGTTTGCAAACATTTCACGGATTGAGGGCGGGTCGTTTTCAAAATGTGGCTCTCGCCTTAGCACCGCGTGATTTTTTTCAACAAATTGCAAAAGTTTCACGGGTTGAGGGCGGGTCGTTTTCAAAATGTGACTCTCGCCTTAGCGGTGCGCGCATTCGTCTTACACAACTGCAAAAGTTTCACGGATTAAGGGCGGGCCGCTTTCAAAAGGTGGCTCTCGCCTCAACGCCGCGCGCATTAGTGTTAAAGATTTGCAGCAGTTTCACGGATTGAAAGCGGGTCGCTCGCCAAAGCGCCGCGCACATTCTTTTTCAATAATTGCTAAAGTTTCACGGGTTGAGGTCGGTTCCTTTTCAACGTGTGGCTATCGCCTTAGCGCTGCGCGCATTCGTGTTAATCATTTGCAAGAGTTTCACGGATTTCGATGGTCAGCGTATCAGAGCTGGTGTTTTTGAACGGACTCAGGATTGTGAGAGCGCAACGATCACGTTGAGTCGCGGTGTTGAATTTCCAAGAATGGTGTTCCAGCGTGCTTTAGGATCGTCAAGACGCAACAGTCAAGTTGATTCGTGGCGTTGGACTCCCGACAATGGTGTTCTGGCAGGCTTCAGGGTCTTCAATCGGTTGTCTCCCAACGAGGCAAGCCCCTCAGTGGAAATGAGCCCTTGTAGGGGCCGATGAAGAGGGAGCTGGGGGGGAGGGTTTATTGCAACATCCTTGATAAGTCTTGGGTTTACACTGGTCCTCCTCCTCCTCCTCCTCCTTCCCCTCCCTGCTCCTCCTCCTCCTCCTCCTCCTCCTCCTCCTCCTCGTCCTCCTACTCCTCCTCCTCCTCCTCCTCCTCGTCCTCCTCCTCCTCCTCCTCCTCCTCCTCGTCCTCGTCCTCGTCCTCGTCCTCGTCCTCGTCGTCCTCGTCGTTCGTCGTCCTCCTCCTCCTCCCTCCTCCTCCTCCTCCTCCTCCTCCTCCTCCTCCTCCTCCCCCCACCTTCTCCTCCTCCTCCTGCTCCTCTTCCACGGAAGGAAGATGATCCTAGATTTGGCGCTGGTGGTAATCTTTCGGCCATCAAGCTAGCCCGAACATTACCGCCATCACAGGCATCGGGATCACCTCACCTCGGCGGAGGCATGCCGCCGATACTGGTGTTGGTGCCAACCTCTGGGTCTCCAGGCCTGGGCCACGACGAGCCTCGCGTCCCTCTCGAGCGCTGCGCGCGCCTCTTCCGAGGGGACCACGCCGTGCCAAGCAGCGACGCACGCGCCGTGCCGGGCGGCGTTGCGCAGCAGCGGTCCGTGCGGTGACGGGGCGGCCGTGCGCAGTGGCTCTTCGCCCTCCTCCCCCGACTCTTCGTCGGACAGCTCGGGAATCGACAGTGCGCCGATGCAGTGAGGGTGCGACTCCGGCCGAGCGGTCCTAGCCGTCAGGACTCGGGCAAGAATATGTTGGGCCAGCTCCTCCGACCGAGCGAACCAAGAAACGTCGGACAGCTTCTGTGGACCAGCGAGCACAGCCGCCATCTCCTCGGACCAGTCCTGCCTGGTCAGAATGACGACAACGATGAGCCTTGAGCCAAAACGTGTACGTACAGAGGAGGACAAATGCGCGGCGAACTGGGGCATGGAGGGGAAAAAGGAGGCTCCTGAAAGGTCGCCCCCCTGTACAATCTAGGGCTCCCGATAGTTCGCGCTCCCGAAGGACACGCGCTTGCCTTCCGGTCTGCCTCTCCTCAGCATCCGCCGAGCAAGAAGCCCGACCTCCTCTCAGAGCTCGATGAGGGCAAGCCCTGCGCACCTCTATCGGCTACGCGTAAGAGTGACCCTGGGTAGGAGTGACCTTTGGTGCGCCGGAGTGACCAAAGGTCACTCCGGCGAAGGGTCACTCTTACGTCCAGTCGACTCTAGTCCGCCACCCGCCTTTTGCTAAAGGTTCCCGGCGCATGGAAGGCGAGTGCGCCAGCCATCGGGCCGCCGCTGCCGCCAGGGCCACGCCGCGCGGCCTGCCCCACTGGTGAGACGACGGGGCGCAGGCCCGTCGGGGCCCGTCGGCGCCGTCTCGGGGGCCCTGGGCGCCAGCCCGTGCCTGCGGCCAGCCCTGGAAAGGCACTTGCGAGGTGCCTGCGTGAGGAGGAGGAGGAGGAGGAGGAGGAGGAGGAGGAGGAGGAGGAGGAGGAGGAGAAGGAGGAGGAGGAGGAGGAGGAGGAGGAAGGGGAGGAGGAGGAGGAGGAGGAGGAGGACCATGGTGAAATACCCGAATCATGAGAGCCCGCAGAACTCTGTACGACTTTCCGTGTGCTCGGATCTTCGCGGATCAGAGCTGCCGAGACGGCCCAAGAGGCCTCGGATGTCGCCCCGAGACCGCTCCCAAGGCTCCCAAAGGTTGCCCAAGAAGCCCCCAACCACGGGTCAAAGAGGCCTCCCAAACGGCCACATCGTCCACTATCTTGACCAAAGTTTGGCACAACGTTTAGCCACGTAATTAAGCGCTTCCAAGAAACAGGCGGCGGCGGTGCTTGGCCGTAAGCGTCTTTGATCATATGGTCCGCCGCCCTCTTTTGCTTACAAGAGGTTGCTTAGCGTGCCAAATTTCCAAATTCTTTCTGGCCATTCCGAAACGTTCCCAACGGCATCGGGCCCGACCCGCTCGCCACCCAAAAAGACTCGGGCGGACCGGGAAAAGTGGCTTCTAGTGGATGTCCCACCCAAAATGGCTCCAAAATGGCCTCCACGACGGTCCAAGGTGCTCTCCCAAACGGCCAACGACGCCTCCACGATGGCCAAGTCGGTCCGATGGCCCAAGACGGCCCCGAAGAAATCCTAATCATTCACTGTCCTAAGCTGTTGAACGATTTTAACATTCTCACCTTTTCGATCTTGCGACTGCCGAATACGGCCCCAGGCCTCAAGACGGCCCAGGAACCCCCAAGAGAGCCGAACGACGGACCAACAGGCCCCTACTACGGCCCCAAGGGGGCCCAAACGACCTCCAAAACAGCTCAACGGTGCCTCGGCAATAACCGAAAACGGCCTCCAAGAGAACGCGACAAGCCAGGAAGGACCCTGAATCGGCCCATTACCTGGCTCCCGCAGGGAACGTTGCGCTGGCTCCCCTCCCCCCCCCTCCCGCGGACGAGGGGGGGGGGAGGAGGAGGAGGAGGAGGAGGAGGAGGAGGAGGAGGAGGAGCGAGGAGAGGAGGAGGAGAGGAGGAGGAGAGGAGGAGGAGGAGGAGGAGGAGGGAGGAGGGAGAGGAGGAGGAGAGAGGAGGAGGAGGAGGAGGAGGGGAGGAGGAGGAGGAGGAGAGGAGGAGGAGGAGAGGAGGAGGAGGAGGAGGAGGATGAGGAGGAGGAGAGGAGGAGGAGGGGAGGGGGGAGGGAGGGAGGGAGGGAGGGAGGGAGGGAGGAGGGAGGGAGGAGGAGGCGGAGGAGGAGGAGGAGGAGGAGGAGGCGGAAGGAAGGAGGAGGAGGAGGAGGAGGAGGAGGATGAGAGAGGAGGAAGGGAGGAGGAGAAGGAGGGCCCGCTGATCTCTGTGCACTTCCGCGGACGGAGGGCGCCCCGGAGGTGCCCGCCAGCGCCGTGTGCCTGCGGCGCCCGTGGCGCCACGCCTGCGCACCGCGGCAGGGCAGCTCGACTCTGCGCCGCGAGGTCGCCGCAGGCCCCCCTCAGCGCACCGCCGCGCGGACTCTCTGCAGCGTCCTCCTCCTCCTCCTCCTCCTCCTCCTTCCTTCTCCTCTCCTCCTCCTCCTCCTCCTCTCTCCTCCTCCTCCCTCCTCCTCCTCCTCCTCCTCCTCCTCCTCCTCCTCCTCCTCCTCCTCCTCCTCCTCCTCCTCCTCCTCCTCCTACCCTCCCCCCCTCCTCCTCCTCCTCCTCTCCCCTCCTCCTCCTCCCTCCTCCCTCCTCCTCCTCCTCCTCCTCCTCCTCCCCTTCCTCCTCCTCCTCCTCCTCCTCCTCCTCCTCCTCCTCCTCCTCCTCCTCTGCAGCGTCGGTGCACTACAGTCGGGGCGTTGACCTAAGGAACCCTGAATAAGGAACGAGGCCCCTTTTTTTTCGCCATAAAGTTAACCTTCGATTTCCGGTCGAAAACATAAGGAAAACCTTTTTTCTCCATAAATTAAACTTCGATTGCATATCGAAAACCCTAAATAAGGAACGAGGCCCCTTTTTTCCATAAGTTAACCTTTGATTTCCGGTCGAAAACATAGGGAAATCCTGAGGCGAGCTGCGAAAGCCGAAGGAACGCGGAGCCCCTCCCCAACGAAAAGGGTTCCTTCTCCAGGGCCCCGACTGTGCGGCACGGCGCGGCCGAGGACGCCGCTGCAATAAAATAGCAAGGAAAGCCATTGCAATCGTCTGGGGCAGCACAAGAGGAGCGGGGGCCCCAGCGGGCCACTGCAACCTTTTGGCGCCGTGCCCTGGCTCCTGGCCCCTTCCTTCCCTTCCCCTCCTCTCTCTTTCTGCCACCCCTTCCCCTCCCGTTTCGCACCGCCTCCCGCTGCTGCTCGTCCTCCCTCCTCCTCCTCCTCCTCCTCCTCCTCCTCCTCCTCCCCCTCCTCCTCCTCCTCCTTTTCCCACTTCTCCTACCCCCCGCTCCCTTTGCTCTCCCCTCCCCCCCCCTCGTCTCTTCTCATCCTCCTCCTC